TTAGGGCTTTGGGGGTTTAGGGGGTTAGGGGTTGAGGGTTTAGGGTTTAGGGTTTTAGGGTTTAGGGCTTCGGGTTTATGGTTTAGGGGTTTAGGGTTTAGGGGTTTAGGGGTTCAGGGCTTACAGGGTTTCGGATTTGGGGGCAGGGGGCTTGGGGTTTCTGGGGTCTGGGGCTTTGGGGGTAAACCCGTTTCTCAAGCCGGAAATCCTGAATCCACAGGCCCGGGCCTGCGAAGTGGCATTGGTCTTCGGAGCCTTGGAACGGCGGCTTCGGGGCCATTACTTTTCTGTTTGTTTAGTTATGAAAATTGCTGTTGATATCATAGCTACTATCAAACATAATAGACAGATACCCAGATAGACAGCTGGAGAGATGGATCACCCTAAACCCTAAACCCTAAACCTTTAGCCCTAAACCTTAAACCCTAAAGCCTGAACCCTAAACCCGAAACCCTAAACCCTAAACCGTATGGTTCGATGGATAGGTGGGGCGCTTGGGTTCGGGCCTCCTCTGCTGCGCTCTCGCTGCTGCACTTGTCAGAAAGCAGCTGCCTCAGAGCCTCCAGCTCCTGCCATTAGGGCGTAGGGTTTAGGGTTTAGGGTCTCAGGTTTAGGGCTTAAGGTTTAGGGATTAGGGTTTAGTGTTTAGGGTGTAGGGTGTAGGGTTTAGAGTTTAGGGTCTAGGGTTTAGGGTTTAGGGATTAGGGTGTAGGGTCTGGGGAGTTTCCAAGAAGTTTCTTTGCACTGGTCTGAATCCTTGCCTTAGGCTTGAACCCTAAACCCTAAACCCTAAACCCTGAACCCTAAACCCTAAACCCTGAACCCTGAACCCTAAACCGGAAACCCTGAACCCTAAACCCTAAACCCTAAACCCCAAACCCCAAAACCCTAAACCCTCTAGCCCAATGAGATTTCAAAGGCCTGGGAATGTCGCTCGCTCATCTTCTCCAGGTAGGAGATCAACTTCGCATTCGGCTCCTGTCTTCCCATACACTCGGGACGAAACGCCACCCTGTTTTGGGGTTTAGGGTTTAGGGGTTTGGGGTTTAGGGTTTAGGGTTTAGGGTTTAGGGTTTTAGGGGTTTAGGGGTTTAGGGTTTCTGTTTTCCGCAGTCCGTTCAGATCTCTCACCTCCTCGGCTTTGCGCTTGGCCGCAGGCCCAGGCAGGTCCAGGCACCTGAAGCTTCGGCGGCACCGTAATCGCCGGGCCCCTTCTGCCACGAACTCCTGGGATGCAGGTCCAAGGCGCCACTTGCCGTTGGCAACCTGTACGAGGTGGTCCAGGTCGCCGAGGTCGGCATGCTGCCCGTAATCCTGACACGGACCCCGTCACAAAGAAGTACAACAAGGCTTCTGGCGGTTTGCTTCAGCTTTCCTCGTTGTGCTCATGCCCTGTTTGGGTTCATGAATGACGGAACCCCACGTCATAGCCCAAGCGCGCGGGCCACACAGCCACAACACCTTGAAGCCGCTTGCAAACCAGACAAGACGGCACAATCACGGGTCTGGTGCAGCAAACAACAACACCCTACTCTGCGTTCCGTCCTTGCCGCTGCGGCGGGCCGCGACACTCAAGGCCACCAAAGCTGCTCGTGTGCGGAACTCCTGCAGGCAGGCGCGGATCAACATCGGGACCACCTCCGCACGGCCTCCACCGACAACCCGTCGAATCCCACGCAGAAGCCCCCAAGCAGAACGTCTAGTCCCCTAGATGCTCAAAGAGATCCAAAGTATGGGGCTCGGGTCTGATTCAACCAGGGTCGAGGGAGCTGCGACGCCGCACCATCGTCCGGCCGATGCCACGCCCGACAAAGCCATCCGCGACAACTTCGTGGATGAAGATGCCTGACCACCTGCCGCGATCCATGGGATCTGCCATAAAAGTCACAGCAGCACTTCCTCTGCCAAGACGCGTGCTCGTGTACGGGCAGGCCTGCTCGATTGCCTGGAAAATGGCATGCAAGAGCCATCGTCTGAACAGGCATGTACCTCGTCATAATAGCAACTCATACAAAGGATAAAAATAATACGAATAACAAAAACTGTAATTATTGATATCAATACTATTAGTATTGTTACTATGTCTTATACTAATGATGATAAAACAACAAGAATAAATAATGCTAGTACAAATACTTGTACTAAGACCAAGACTAATTCTAATACTCATACGGATACCAATAGAAACACTCATGCTAATGCTAACGAATACGAATACTAGTACTATGTAGTACCAATACTAATACGGATACTGATAGCAACACTGATACTAATACTACTAGTAGTAACAGCAGTAGTAATAGTAATAACAGTAGTAGTAATAATAATAATAATAATAGAAATAGTAATGATAATCGCCATAATAACAATACTAATACTAATAATACGAATAACAATAGGAACAATACGAATATTGATAACAATATTGATAGTAATACTGATGACAATAACCATACTCCTAATCATGACAATGCCAATGACAATAGCAATAACAAAAAACGCAATAATAATGATAATAAAAATCATGATGATGATAACAGTAATATTAACAACACTCATAACACAAGCAGAAAAAACAACAACAACAACAACAACAACCACGACGACGACGACGACGACAACGACAACGACAACGACAACGACAACGACAACAGTCATACCACTCCTTCCAAGAAAAAACAGATCCCCAGCTGTGTCGCCTCACGGAGGCCGCACCAGCGCTCGTGGACCATGTCCTCGTGAGACAGCGCCTCCTCGAGCCAGCGATGCGCCCGAGACCCGAAAACCTCTAAGATCCCTTTAGGGTTTAGGGTTTTAGGGTTTCGGGTTTAGGATCTCCAAAAATAACGAAGAATAAACCTACGGAAACCTCTGAAATGTGAGCCCTATACCCCCAAGGATTTAGGGTTCCCTTAAAACTCTGAAACAAAAAGCAACCTCCCAGCCCCGAGCCCTGATCTGGCCTTCCCAAAGAAGGAGTTCGCCCACGTCCGCGCGCAGGCGAAGAGGCCCCTCGGAAGCCGCGAAAGGCATCTGCTCGCACTGCTAGCGGCTAGGGCGGTACTCCTTGAGGACTACAAGGTGTTAGGGTTTAGGGTTTTAGGGTTTAGGGCCGGTTTAGGGTTTCAAGGGCTACTAAAAAGGGGGTTATTATATTATATAAGTATAAGGGACACTGTAAGGGGTTATCGTAAGGGTCACTATAACGTTGCCATGAGGGTGGGAAGCGTCTTTCGGCCTGCATGAGAGCCGACAGGCAAAGGAGACACCTGAGTCCTCCCGCTCAGAGGCTTCTTGGGGTTTATGGCTTTAGGGCTTTAAGGTTTAGTGACGGTGCTTCGGGGCTTTAGGGTTTAGGGCTCTGGGCCGTTTATAGGATTTTAAATCAGGTTCTGGTTCGGGGTTTCCCCGGCCAAGCTGCTTCAGGGGCTCTTCGTTGCAGTGCACGATGCCTGAGATCCGAGCTCGCAAGAGTGCCGCGAGAAAGAGCTGCCAGCCCAGAAACCTACGTCTCGCTGAGGTTCAGAAAACTTCGATCGTATCATCATATCTCTAGATGGTCGGTGTTTGAATTGTGCTATATCATGCTATATCATACCCAAAAGCCCTGTCCCCCTCATAGACCCCTCTACTCTATGCAAGGGAGACCTGCAAGGAGCCCCACTCTGCTTCAAGAAGGCCCCTAGGTGAAACCCTTCTAGCCTTCTGTTTAGGGTTTAGGGTTTCGGGGATTAGGATTTAGGGTTTAGGGTTTAAACCTTTATAAACCCCCTTGAAAGGAACCCCGTGTAGACTCACTGTAGACCCCGGTTGATAAAGGGACCCCTATCGACCCCTTGGGAAAGGAACCCTTATGCACCCCCACCCTTCTAAAGGAAGCCTTTTAGATCCTTACGGACCCTGGGCCACTTTTCAAGGGACCCGTATGGACCCCCTTTTAAAGAGACCTTTGAAGGGAATCCCAGGGATGAATCCAAGGCCGTCCCGTTGCAAAGCACGGCTGCGTCGCTGGCGCCGGCCGAGGGTCTGGCCCAGAAGACCTCGGCACTCATGGAATCTAGGGTTTAGGGTTTAGGGTTTTAAGGTTTAAGGGTGAAGGGTTTAGGGTTTAGGGTTTTAAGGTTTAGGGTTCAGGGGTGTAGGGGTTTAGGGGTTTAGGGGTTTAGGGGTTTAGGGTTTAAGGGTATAGGGTTTTTTGTTTAGGGTTCAAGCGTGAAGGAGTTTGCGGCCTAGGGCTTAAGGCTTCGCGGGTTGGGCTTACTCTTTACGGTTTGGGGCTTGGGGTTTGGGATTGGGGGGTTGGGATTTAGGGTTCCGAAAGGACTGTTGAGGATCTCAGGGAAGCCACCAGAGGTTCGCTTGAGAACTCTGACTTCGGGAACCTCACTGGCTGCGACATTGCTACATCTCCTGAGAAGCACCACAGTCAGGAAATAGCCGATTCCACGCAGAAGCAAGCCGGCATTCTGCGCCGATGGGGGCACCCATGTTTTTCATCCACCAGTGCAAAGCCCTGGGTGTCGGCAACCCGCAACAGGTCCTCAACCCGCTCCCATCATCGTACTAGTGCGAATGGTCTCTCAAAGATCCCTTGATCACATCTCGTCGCTTTGGCAATGAGAGAGGCAGGGGAGTTGGCTGTCGTGGTCTGATCCGTCTGACTGGCATGCCACTGGATGGAGCCTCGTTTAGGGACTAGACCTGCAACAAGGAAAGACACTCCTCACTTCAAAGCTGTCCGGCTCTGGCTGGAAAAGCTTTGATGTGTCAAGTGCCTATGAGTACGACGGCTGTTGACGCTGAAACCCAAACTTCCAAGTTACCAGAGCATAAATACGGAAACTTGGTGAGCCTGCGGAGCCTGGAAATAGCAAGAGAGAGCTAGAAAAGCCAAGCTGCAAAATTCTCCCAGCTCAGTCCTTCGGCACCGTCACCTTCGGCACCGTCGGCAAGGATGTTCGCTCCGGCGGTTTGGCCTTGACCGGAACCTGTTGCATCCATGCTTGTACAGCACTCCTGACTACGGAGACACGCAAAACTGCGAACCAATTCATGCCAAAGCCAGCTCCAGTGTGCACTGACGGTATGGGGGTTTACCCTAATATGGTACCTTAAATAGTAGGATCCTTATCAGAAGGACCCCAAAATAAGGAACCCTAATTTGCTGGAAAGTCCGGTATAGCCGTCACGACACAGTTGTGTGTTGCCGGTGTCCAGGCCTGGGCCTCGTGCAGAGGCCGTCAAGCTGCTCGAAGAGCCTGCGAAAGACAGCTGCAAGCAGCTGCAAGCAGTGGGCTCGTGGCAGCAGCAAGCATGATCGCTGATCATGATGATGAAGAAGGTGAAGATCAAAAACAATGCTGTGAAGATGAGGCAGGGATGCCGTGCAACATGAGCATCACAGCGGCGGCAAGGAAGCTCGAGAACAATGCAACAAAGAGTCTGAACACCTCAACACCAGGGCCCCGAGTCAGCCCGATTTGCGAAAGACATCCCTCAAATTCAGACTTCTGGGCGCTCGACCCTACGTTACATGAGGCCCCAATGCAATGAAAGATTGCTGAGCCACGCAGCACGGGCCTGCGAGATTCTGCAGACTTCCAGTCGCTGGTGTAGTTGTGGTTCTCCGAGGCGGCTCCTGTGACAGTTTCAGCGACAGACGCGTCTTCTCAAGCACTTGCGTAGTGCACATCCGGTGAAGACGAGGGTGAGGATTCAGGATTCTTCAAGAGATTCAGCAGCTTGCGCTCTGTGTTCGAACTTGTAAAGCGATGGCACACATGAAAGACCTTGATAACACTTGTCAGCTTAGCCGAAACACCCTCTGGTTTGGGTGTATGGTATGGTCTGCCCTGTTTCAACTGCGAGTTGGCCGGCTCGATTGCACCTACATGAACCAAAATCAAGTGAAAAAGCTGTATCGCCTACCATGGCGCACGGCCGGCCCGAACTGGCAGGGAACTGGGCAGGCGCATAAGGTGGGATCCTACTTGGTCTGTTCGGTGCAAAGGGGTTCCAAGATCCTCGTTGTGGTGGCAAGCTACAGCACCTGCCGGCATTCCTCCATGGGAGGCATCGGCAGCGCAGCCACGCGCAGAGCAGACCCGTCGACCCTGCCATGATGTGCTTGAATTGCCAACATTTCCCGAATCAGCTCGAAGCAAGGCACAAAAGCCACGCCTGGAACGAACACTCCACATCAAACGCTTGCAACTGTAGCAGAATGAATCAAGTGCCGGCCTGCCGCATTTGACTCCATGATCATCGAGACCAGAAGGCCTGCCTTGGAATCACCCAACCCTAAACCCTAAACCCTGAACCCTACACCCTAAACCTTATAAACCCTAAACCCTAAACCCTGAACCCTAAACCCTAAACCCTAAACCCTGCTTGTCGGGGCTTCGGGGTAGCGTAAGAAGGCGAAACCGAGCAACCGCTCTTCCAAGCTCGGTGGCACGCCTTGCAGCAGAAGCCGCCAAACGCGCGCTCCTCTTGGCTTGGGTTTAGGGCCTAGGGTTTAGGGTTTTTTGGCTCTCACCATCAGGCTCCGCTGAAGTCTCGGGAGGACGGAAAAGCCTGTAGCCCGAGCCCCTGAACCCCAAAGCCCAAGTCCTCAAGCCTCGCAAAACCTCAGCCCCTTGAACCGCCCAACACAATGCCTGAGACCTACCAAGAACCCTCATACCACCAACCTTCACCATACGCACCGACCCATGAACACCAGGGCCGCATCTCACAAAGGATTTGAGAGATAGCGTTTAGGGTCTAGGGGTTTAGGGTGTTGAATTTTAGGGTTCAGGGTTTAGGGTTCACGGCTCCTTGTGCACGGCATAGGTGCATGCCGCGCATTGGTGAAGGGCCCTTTCCTGACGGAGGGTTTCAGGTCCGGGGGCTTAGGGTAAGCAGCGGTTTAGGGTTTAGGGTTCAGGGTTTAGGGTTTAGGGT